TGTCTCCACATTTGCATTCACCTCCTAACTTACCTCTCTGCACAGTTCTGGGGTCTCCAGCCATTTACATTTATCGTTTTATCCCCCTTTTCTAAACCCTTCCTGTTCTTTCCTAACAAAGCCCCTGATCCTTTGCCTGAAATTTATGACCCACATCAACCTGTTGCTCTCACCCTACTGTGGACACAGGTGCATGTTCTCCTACCTTACCTTTCAATTGGGCATTTCCTTGACTTACAGTGTCTTCTCCCACATTCTTTCCCTTTCTAAATGCTGCCTGCTCTTCAGAGGACTTCTCAGGAGCCACTTCCTCCATGAAGTCTTCCTTCCCTCAAGTTCCCACTGGAAATGAATTTTCCCTTCCTGGCCCAGTCATAGCAGTAAGTCCCCACCCCGTTGCACTGGGGTCATTTGTTCCTACCTTGTACCTTCTACTGGACTGAAGGTTTAAGGGGAGCAGGGATTGTGCTTATGTATTAGTCAGCTTTTCAGTTCCTGGACAAAATACCTGATAAGTACACTCAAGATCTGCCATTAGTACGAGCAGTAGCCAGGCCTCCTCAAACCATGGCTGCAATGACTTCTGACTGGCTGGATTGCTGGGCACCATGAAATGAATTGTGGAGAGCCAATTCCCTAGATGACCCTTCTATAACAAGGATCCCATAGACTCTCTTTTCAAATGAAAACCTTACACTTTCACACCTTGAGCCTCTGTGGGTGTGTCTGTGTGTGTGGAGGGAGGACCTTGCTGATTCCTGAGATGCCCTCTAGGCATCTTTCTTTTTGTCCCTGCTAAAAATATATTTTTTTTGTAGCACAATCTCCTCACACATGGTCCCTTTCAGGCTAAAGTTTAAAATTTTCAAATATTTCTGTTCAACTTTTTGCTCCAGTTCTCACTATAAATCTGGCTAAAAGCAGAGAGGAGCACTCATGCCACAGCCTGAACATTGGGCTGCCTTGAAATTTCCCCTATCAGATCAATGAATCCACTACCCTTAATTTCAGCCCTGTGCAGAGTCGCAGGACAGAGCAAAATATAGACCAAAAAAGGGTTTTTTGGGGGTGTGTTTTTTGTTTTTGCCAGAAAGTAACACTTATTGTCTGTAGTCTCCTGCTGAATAACGTCCTAAATCCCAACTGAAATGTCCTGAGCCTGGCCTTTCTTATCTGCATTCCTATCAGCATTCTGGTCTTCAGATCTCTGAGCATAACCACCCATCAAGCTCTTACAGCATTGGCCTAGAGCTTCTCTAGGCCAAATCTCCAAACCTGTCCAAACTCCTCCCATAAACCAGTTCCAAAGACTTCTAACCCACATGGTCACATAAAGATACAGCAACAATCACACCATCAACATCAATTATCTATATTCGTCATCTTTCCCATTGCTGGACAGAATGCATGACACTCATAAGTTAAGGGAGCAGATATTTATTTGGCTGGTGGTTTCAGAGGATTCCATCCATGGTCAGCTGGCTCCAAACCAGCATATGATGGCAGAAAGATGTAGCAGAGCAAAGCTACTTAGTTAATGGTGGTGGGGAAGCAAAACAGAGAAATAGTGTCAGATAGGAATGAAGTAAGGACCAGATGTAGTCCCCAGGTCACACCTCCCTGATGCGTGCAGACACACCCAAAAGTGTGCTTCGCAAATCCCCTCGGGAGTGCCCAAGTCAATCAAGTTGTCAAGCTCAGCTGTCACAGTCTGTCATAGATTCTTGAATCTTCATTTAAACTAAAGCAGTGTTTGTGCCTGATGTCCCTGTCACCTAACAGGAGGATGAACAGCTGGTGGGCTCACTTGACACTGTCTGATGTGATGGTCTCTAGTGAGAGGCACATATTTAACAGAAATGTAGAACTCACTTTCCCAAGAAGCTATAAGCAGCAAGAAGAAAAGGAAATGAGGACCTAGTCCACTCCTTTTTTTGTTTTGTACCAGGGATTGAACTCAGGACCTTGTGCTTGCAAGGCAGGCACAGTGCCACTGAGGTAAATACCCAGCCCTCCTTTTTAAAAAAATACTTTTACATTAGAAGTTGCATTTCCCTCCTTAGGATGTACCTCACCCAAGTTCCATTTGTTTCTGTGTCTCCCACTGCTTTTGGTACAAGGTATTAAATACTCAAGGAAAGCTCAGCCAAGTAAAATTGGAGGACTAGAAATTCCCACTAGACCACTTGGTTTTGTTTTTTTAAAAATTCTTTTATTGGTACATTTTAGGTATACAATACATTTACATTTCTCATTGGGAACTTGTACCTTTACA